ATAAAAGTCCCTCTGCCTAGAAAGGAATTTAGTTTACTATCTAAACTATTAGCCAAAGGTCTGAAGTTTAGTTACAAAACCAAGCAATGAAAACTTAGGAAAAGACTGCAAGCTCACGACCAGATAATAAGCTTAAATTCTGCAGGAAAAGAACAAATTCTTTCAGTTCCTCTGTCCTCAGTCAGAAAGATGAGGAGGCATGTACAGAATCTCTACAGAGATCATCAATAAAAGTCTTCAACTTGGACGTACTGGACAGACATACAGTCATCCTTAATTGTGCAACACATACACTACCCAAACAAAACTACACCCAAAGAAAATTTTTCTTAAATTACACAGTGAGTAGTATTTCTGTCAAAAAACAATTCCTTGACTTCTGTCACATACATGTTACTATGTGAGGTCTTAACATTTCATAAAAATACATTAAAAAAATCAACAATTCATTTAAAGCTAAAATACTTTATATCTAATATGCAACTCACACTTATTTGTGTACTAAAGGAATGTATGTGAGTTATTCTTTGTATATGCCTTTTTGCAATGAAGGGACTAATTTTTAATCTTTCGTGGGTGGAAGTAATTTTCCTACTGACTTGAACCACTGCTTCCCAGTAATGACACAGTACTGTGTGGCTCTGGTTTTCCTTTCAAGGTGACAGAATACAAATCCCATCTGCAAAGTAGGACAGTAGCTATTTGCTGCAAGATTAATAAGTCTATTCAGCCTTCTGCCAGTCTAGCGTTTCCATTTTATGACAAAAAATAATCACTGGTTATTCTGTAACAAGCTCCCAGTACCTTTTCATTGAAGTGGATTTCAACAAATTTCCCAAAACGACTGCTGTTGTTGTTGCGAACAGTCTTTGCATTTCCAAAGGCTTCTAATAGGGGATTTGCTGTTTAAAAAAATTAATTTTTGTAGAGTTAGAATCTGATCAATAAACTACCAAAAAGAAAGAGAGAAAAAACACTTACCAATTAGTCAGTTAACTTATGGGGAATAAGGTTTGAAAATTAAAGGGAAAATATTACCTATTAGGAATAATCAATTCTATAGATTGTACCAGATATATTGTGGTAGAACATAAAACTAGGTACTTAGATATCACATAACACTGCAAAGTATTTTAATCAATACTATAAGAAATTCAGAGACAAATGCCAAAAATTATTCCGCTATGCTGTTCTACACAAGTAGGTAAATAACTAATACATAAACTATATGAGACAACACACAATTTGACACTTCCTAGTCAGTTATTATTCATAAAATCTAAACTACCCACTTATCCCACAGACAAAAATGCCACTTAAATGTCATGCATGCAATGTATTAGATTGATTAGGGAATTAAAAAAAAAAAATTAGACAAGTGTGTTGATTTCAAAAACTACTTCAAACTGCCCTTTCAAATTAGGTCAGTTAAGTGATTGAGTGATTTTATTTTTTTTACTGGTTGCTGATTTCAAGCACATTAAAGCCCATACAGAAAGAGTGGCAGCAAGCAATCTAATGCACATATATATATATATATATATATATGAACACAAATATCATGCACCGTTTAATCTGTTTGAAATGCTTAGTAGTTATGAAACAAAGGCCTCTGAAAGACTGCATTTTACTAGCTTTGAAGATCAAAAAAAAAACAGTTGACTGAATCTCACTAACAATAAGCCATTAAAAATATCTAAAAGATATTTTAAGGCTTCTAGCTAAAAATATGCATTGGAAACTAAGCAAGCAGAAACTCAGATTTAAAACTCCACTGACAACCATCTACATATCTGCTCCTGCAACAGTTAAAGAATGAAGGAATAACATTAATGCTTGGATAAAGTATGGATGATATGGCATAATTTAGTAGGACATAAGAATTAACATTTTTGTTTTGGCTAGATTTTCTCTGTTTTTAACTTAAAGCTTATGAAAATACAAATCTGACTTCTTAAGAGATCTTTGATAACTATTCAGGCATTTTATGTAATATTAACTTTTAAAGAAAAGATAAAAACATATTGCAAGAGTCTTTCAGCTAGGTTAAACGTTCTCTATTAATACATATGCAATAAGCATGGTCGTTAAACTTGTGCCCAAAAAACTTCAGAATTCATGCATCAGATGCTGGTTTAGACTAAAAAACCCCAAACTCTTCAAGAAATACCTACAAGTACCAATTAATTTGCGTCGGGCATTATCCAACTCCTGACCACTTTCTGAGTTCCTTTAGCACACAGTGGATTTCACTAAGGAACTGCTTTAAGCAAACCCATGTCACCAAGAGATTAAAGCCTGCAGTACTTCTCTTGAACAACAGAAAACAGAAAAATTTAAAGCAAAAGAAAAGGTGAACAAATTTTTAAAGAAAAAGAGTCAGGAAATTTTAAAATAAATTTACTATATGCTATAGAAGACTAAAACTGATATATGAGGCAATATTAGGTTGGTTGCTTGTTTTAGAGATGTTTGTATTTTCTCAAAAACTTATTTTTTGTTGAATTAGGAAGTGCATGCAACATTAAAGAGGCTCATCTAGATGATCAACACAGTCTCTTCTGACCTGGTTTGGAAGTCGATTATTATAAAGACAGATACAATCAAAGAGCTAATCTGAATTATGTGATTTCTGACAAAAAAAGATGTAACAGAAAAATGACCCAGAACTATAATTTAAAAGAACTTCCCTGTTTTATCTGACTTTGAGAACTTTATGGTGATTAGGAGGAATTGCACTTTCCTCGTAATAACAGATAGTCATGAAAACATAATTTTGTCCTTGCAGATTATATGCAGTTTAAAATCCAGTCTTGGGTACATAATGTGTAAAGTTCAATTCAAACACACACTCATTTTCTGGATCAAGGACTGTATGATACTATAGTAAACAAAAATAAAGTGAAACACGAATAAAAAAATATTTTTTCAGATATAATTTTTTCAAATTATGCCCTAGGAAGTCTGATAGTACTTATATCCTAGCTTTTATTCAGTTGCTGTTGACTCACACTTCTGAAAAAAATATAAGTGTTGGAACTTTTGAGTTAAATGAAAGAAAATTCAATACCTTCTACAATTCTGTCATCAATATCCTGGCCACTACCATAGGATTCTGTTAAATACCTGTAAAGCAAGAAAAAAACGTTGATATCATTTATCTCATGTCAGATTACCTCAAGTAAACAGGGTTAAGCATGGCTATGCACCATACTTACTAACCATTTACTATAGGGAAAGCATACTGAGTAAGTTACAAATACCTATACGTTTTAAAATCAATGCAGTTTAACTTTTCTTTTTTGTTAAAACAAAAATATTCTTGCACACTTCAGGTTTTTTTCAATACTCCAAGACCTGTTAGAAATTTCTTTTAGACATGTATATGAAAATTACAGTTTTATACAAATACAATCAAACTATTACTCTACTATCTGTATTTCTTAATAAATCTTAGTAAACACATAAGGTTTCATGTCTATTTCCCAAATTTAAGATTGTTTCCGTGCATACAGTTTCTGTGTTCATAACTATAAGAGTTAATAAAAACCTCCACATGGAGATGGTGAAGATAGGAAATTGCAGGTGCATAATTAAGGCAAGATTCAATTTAGCAATTGAAGAAATGATTTTAAATAAATTCACAACATATTTGCTCTAAAGTTCCAGCCTTTTTTTTTTTTCCTCCTTGTGCTCAGGGCATGCTTTCTACAAATTCGCAAGTAAATCTGGGACAAGCTTAAAACAGATACTGAAAATAGGGCCTTCCAAAAAAATTTTAGAAACACTAACTGAGCTGTATTAGTACATTTTATGTTCTGATCATGCAAGGGTAAAATCATCCAGCTCTTAAAACTCAATTATGTTTTGTACATGGACTCTGTGGGGGCAGGTGGTGGGGAGAAGCAACAGCAATGTTGCTTGTTGTGTGATCAGAACTTCCTTTGCTGAGAAGCAGAGGAACAACTTCCTTTAAGAGCATTCCTCAAGAGATATTCTCCCAGTGCCAGACTTTTTTTCACTCTTAGAAGGACCAAAGTTGGGATGTCCCCTGTGAGAATCATTACCAGCACCTTGCAGTAATTCTTACAGCTATCTGTGAAAGAATGCACAAGGGCAGAGAAGAGCAGTATGACAGGCAGACAGACAGTTGGGACAATTCTTCCTAGGATGTGGAAGATAATAACTCTATATAAATACTAGAAAATACGTGATGTCAGGAAAAATGGCATTAAAGATTTATAGAAGGAAACAAGGACAAGGTGGGGTGAGGGAGTGTATTCACACTGCTCACACTGTGCTTCCCTGCATAATTGAGTCACCTATGATATAGGTGTATTTAAGGAGCTCTCCAGTTACAGTGTTCCAGAGGGATAAAAAGTATAATGCCAGTAAGTGGAAGCAAGACTGATATACATCAGCAATATGGCTTCCACAGAGTTTAAAATGTTTGACTTAGTATTGCTCATATACAAACATTAACAAATAAATAAATCCCATTGTTCAGTCTTATTCAGTAAACTAGGGTGAAGTACATTACAGTTAAAAACCCTGGATACACAAGCAAACTAAAAAAAAAACCTAAGGCAGGAAAACAGAGAAATGCACATTTATGGCAAAACCAACAGTGTCTTGCAAGATACAGTTAAAATGTCTAGTTATGGTTTTTTATCTACCACAACACCAGATGTGCAATACTAAAATGCCTGCATCATAAACCATAATAACTACATGATGTCACTACAAGTGAGTTAAGGTTTCTATGAGTACGTAGCTATTTCCACGTATCATCATGTCAGCACTTAAGTTTAATTCAATTAATTTCTTGTAATAAAGTGGACGCAGAAGCTAATACATATCTTACTGAATTGTGTCTTAAACCTACTGATTACCATTTGCTCTGTATGTCAACCAAATGCATCAACACAAGAGATTCACATAATAACTTTGGTCCAAATGCACAAACCTCAGAACAAATTTAGTGTTTTCTGTCTTGCCAGCTCCTGATTCTCCAGAGACTATGATGGACTGACTCATCTTGAGCACTTTCATGTCACGGAATGCTTTATCAGCTTAAAAAGAAGAATACATTAAACCTGACACATACTAATATTCAGCAGAATTGCAAGGATAAAGTTGAGCTACAATGCAAAAATCGAAATGTAACATTTTTAGGAATAAAAAGTAAATCTTTACAATTAAATGCATTAAAATTCATTAAAGTCTGTTTCTGTTTAATTTATAGTATAGTTGTTCATCTTCCAACCCGACATGTAAGAACTCAAAGGCCTGAAAACAAAGACCTACTCAACTATATCCAGGACGAAACAAAGCCAAACCAACCACCTATAACTACATCTCTTGAATTAAATGTATTTACAAAATAGTAACCAATGTGGCTTTAGTATGTTTTTCAAAGGGAAACTTTCAGTTTCAGTACTTTGCAACAAGTAACATCTGAGACAAGGAAACTTGGAAAAACATCGATTTTTTGCTATGCAACAGGTACTAAACCCCCAGCTATTTATACTTTTGATTACATAACAAAATGCAAAACAATGAGAAGGCTTTTAACAAGTCAAATCTTAATTACAGTTTTCAATTATTTTTCTTATTTAAAAAAGTGACTGAAATCAGATTTATCCCATAAATAACATTTCAATATATTTTCCATCTGTAACAGAAGCATATAAAAAGAAAGAGTGCATGTGCTCTGGCAACATAATAAAAGGCAAAGAAAATCACTACACTGAAAGACAGTGCCAATCATTATTAAACCGTTTTTCACTTGCAAAATCTGAATTTCTTTATTTCTTTTTTAGAGCTTTTTTTTTCTAAATGGTTGCAAATTAAACTGCTTAGACTTGAAACATTGGAGGTGCAGAATAATCATAAGAGGGTTGTCATGGTTGCTTATTTCCAAGTTCTTCAAACTGCATATTGAAGATGAGAAGACTTGCAATTAGTGGTTTTATTTTATAATACATCAAGATAAATTAATTACTGTTAGAGGTGGAAATTTATAAGTAACTGTGACATATTCAGTGTTTGTTTTTAAAAGACAAATACAGGTTCAATACATACCAATGGCAAAAACATGTGGTGGCAATGTTCCAAGCGATCTACCCTGGTACTTTTTAATAGTATCTGAAGAATAAAACTTAGGTATATCAAAGTATGGATTCACTGCAATAAGAATGTTGGCTACATAGGTCTGTGAAGAAAACAATTAACATGAAACTATTAGCCAGTATCCAAGCAAGTGGTTAACAGCACTTTTAACAACAACTATTACTATTGAAGACTACATCCTAAGTATAACAATTGCATTTATGATTCTCTCCAGTAAATGCAGATACAAGACAGGACATATTTTTAGAGTTCCTTTTATTATCTTTTTATGACTTCTGTGACATTCTCTTGGGAAAATTTGCTAACCACCAAGCTATGGAGTATGTCCTGAATCTGACCTTTCTTCTAACCTCCTTTTATATTATTTCCTGTTGTCTGCATTACTGGATCAAGGGTAGGACTCCAAAACCTCCTCCTCAAAAATGAATAAACTAAGCTCGTGGACAGCATAATGCACTGTCCTCCAGTGAGGAGGATCACTTTAAAATATCTAATGGAAGCAACTCAGCAGGAAGGACTGAAAGGATCCTGCCTGGGAATGCACTCAAGCCAGGCAATAAAAGCATTCAGCTGAGAGAAAATTAGCTATAGCTGCTTCCACAGAGAGAAATACAGAATGCCAATGTTCTCTCACAGAGAAGGAATTTGAGAAGAATCTCAAATGAAGGCTGCTTTTTACCTTTCCACAGGATAAGGAAGACTGAAGAAAAGTTTTTTCTGAAAAAAACTTTCATAGCTTTGTTATAATGGCCAGATTACATACAGGGAAGAAGAGAGGTCAGAATCAAAGATAAAAGCAGATATGCAGCAAAAGATCTAAAGAAAATGAGATAAACTTTCAGCCTGAATAACTTATTTGCTTTGTTGTTATTGAAATGTCACTAGGCAACTGAAATTTGGACGCTATTGTGATATGTTGATAGAAGGTTGAACCACTGTTTCTTAGATGTCTCTAAGTTTAGTACTTCTTTCACTGCAGGAAAACTTTTCTTTGAGAGCTGCAGGTACTAATATTAACTTTCCTTTTAATAACAAGAGAAATGCTGTTAACCAGGATTTAAAAAGGCAGAAAATTGTTTACAGGGGAGTTAAAATATAAACCAGAAAAACAAAAAGTCAACTTTTTTTTCCCCCTCCAGAAAATACACCCACTCTGAATAACATATTAGTAGTACTTGTTTACAATGAAGAACAGCTTTATGAACTGAAATACTATCCTACCTCATAATCAGTTCAGATTCAGAATTTTACCTCCTTGGAGGTTTATTGTTTGGTTAGGGTTTTTTAAGGATTATTTTCCCCGAACAGCATTCAAATGGCCTTATTTATTTATTTATTTTAAAACTAGGGCTTAATCTTGGGACATAAAAAATTTATAGCTATGTAAATCAACTGCAGCAGAAGAAAACAGCTATACTTTCTTTTTATATTTATATAAAAGGGTTTAACTAAATTAATTTTACAGCAGTATGCTAAAAGTTATTTTAACACAGACACTTAAAAAATACGTAGAACTGTTTTATATTATCCCTAGCCAGCTTTCTATTAGATAAAAAAATAAGAAAGAAGGAAAACTTTTATCTTCTGTTTCACAGCTGTCAATGTCCAGGCAGATGGCAAGGACAAAATGTAATTTAGTCAGAATTCATTAAGTACAATTAGGCAATTTGATAGCAATATAAAAGATTAAGATGGACATCTGAGCTAGGAGGTGTCAAAGACAGCACCTGTTTGCTTCGTTCAAAAATAATGAAGAAAGAAAACCATCTTTGCTAACAGTGAAGTAAGGTACCTGTAGGAACAGAGCTTTGTGATACAAAGCAGTGCTATGGTTGCACATGAACAGTCATGTAGAAAAAAATGTATTGCTCTGCCTGGTAAAAATTAGTTAGCATTATTGTGATTAATGTGATTCTGATCTCAAACAAAGTATAATGTAAGAAAAAAAAAGGTGCAAAAAAAGGCCTACAACTTCAACATTTCCATGCTAGCAGTTCTGTTATAGGAAAAAAAAACAGAATTGGAAACATTTGTTGAATGTTTGAAGGGACATCTATATTAGACTGGTTCTCATGACATATAATACTTACGTAAATTCTGTCCTTACTGTACCGAACTTTGATATTGTGAAGGAGAGTGGCCTCATTTAAATACATCAGGGAACCTGCAAGTAAAAGACAATCACATACCATTAAGAGCTCAGGAATACCTTCATGTACAGACAAAAACCTAAGTTTTAAGATTAAGGAGAATTTTACTTCCCCTCTCTGGTTACAGTTTAATCCTATCATTTCCTTACATGTCTTGAGGCAAAACTGCTGACTCAATATACACTTTAAAAACCACAGACCTGCTCTTTACTGTACTGAAAGTTGCAGAACAAAGAGTCAGACTGCAGGAGCCTCAACACAGGCTCTGCTCAGCGTAAGCTCCTTTCACCAGCCTGTCAGTTGAACACTGTGCATCTTACTCCATACAGGCCTCTAAGCACAGAAACTGGTGCCTACCAAAATCCCTAGCAATGACTGTGTCCTTCCTTCCAGCTCCCTTCTCAAGTCTCAGCCACAGTGTCCCCCAGAGTACTGCCACCCAGCTGACCTTTAGAATAACAGCTAGCTCTGGGGATTGATGGATATGAACATCTAATCGGGAAACACTGTCTGGAGGCAGCAGCAGCCATCATCGCAACAGCAGGCACCAACCCCACCTACCCTGCTTCAATTCTGAATTTTGTTAGTATTAGGCCTTCTCAGAGAAACTGTTAGAGGAAAAAAATGCTAACACACCAAACCCTAGCTTTATTTTTCTCCTTTGTTCTTTAACAGAAAACACCTGAACTAACTGCTAAAATATACATAAAATATATATAAGGTGGTGGCTCTAGGCAGCAAGTGACCATCCACAGAAAGCTTCAGACCATACATGTCAGCTGCCTTAATTATAGAGGTAATTTCCACTTCCCATTGTAACATTGTTAAAAACATTATCCCTAAACCATCTGAGGTCACTACTCATTACACAGCCTCCATTTTCAAATATGTGCAACTCTTTTTATCTTGCTGCTTAAACTTCACATGCACAACACTGTTTTGTCTAGTTACAACTGATTGACTGCCATACTCGTAAACTTAACAGTATTAGCACCACTTTAAAAGTTGTATACATCTGAACACTGTGGATGGAGTAAGCACTGTCCTGTAATGTCTCTTCTTTTTAAGGAAAGACTGGAGGTGGCACTTAGTGCCATGGTCAAGTTCACATGGTGGTGTTAGGTCATAGCTTGGACTCAATCTCAGAGGTCTTTTCCAACGTCATTGATTCTGTGAATCTGTAATAGTAACTTCTACCCTGTATGTTACACAAGGGTTACATATGCACCTCTCATCTATAATGACCAACAAAGTTGTTTGAAGTCGAACTGATGCCCTTTCTCAAGGGCTTCAGCAGAAAAAGAAAAAGTATTCCAACTTATTTACACAAACATTTAAGAAGGGTGTCCAGTTCATTGACCTAAAGTCAACCTGTGCAGCCACCTACACAAGGATGCCTGAAGTAATACTAAGTCAGGTTCACCAGCCGTTTGCAGCCTCCCTTTGGCTTGCTTAGCTCCACTGAGCCCTTCCTTCCCTTACATGACCAAATACAGCTTTGCTTCAAATGCCTGGAATCATTCACGATTCTCAAAGGACCTTGCCACTTCTGGATTGGTCAGAAGAAACCATCTTCCTCCACAAAATCCCTTGCACTCACACTCTTGCGTTGGCAGAGGCACACAAAGCACACTGTAGCTTTACACTAAGCAAACTCTTCCTCTGGATTACAACAGCCTTTAAATCATGCCTGTGCACAATTCCTTCATGAAGCAGGAGGGTGGCCCCCATCACCATGGCTTTTCCTTTGCCACCACAGCAGACACACGTTCCCACACAACCCCACAGTCTCTGGTAGGTGCAGCAATCAAGTGCAGACACCCAGCACTGCAGGACCCAGCAGGACTAGTCCTCCCCTCCCCAGGCACACTCA